TTATACTAGTTGAGGATGTTGCAAGCCATAGTTCTGGAGAATGACGCATACAATCAGAGCAGTAAATCATCATAACACATACAACTGGAGAATGACGCATACAATCAGAGCAGTAAATCATCATAACAAAGTAGATGAATAGATAAAACCAATAACTAAGACAAGCCACATATGGTATGCCAGAGCAAGTGAAACAAAAGGAATATCTGGCACCTTGGGGGGGGGGGGGAATCAGCATCCGTTCAAGTCATACCTTTGAGAGAGAGTTAATTCCACAAGCAGCGCACTGACAAAAGGAAGGATCACTTTCTCCCTTAAGCATTTAAGTAGCTTGTAGTATTGTAACAGATTAGTACAAAGCAGATTACCTTTGCCTGGAGAAAATATCTAAAGCTATTAAGGACATAGTACATAAACACCTTTGGCATTACAAAAAAAAACACCCTACCCTTCTGGAAATTCTATGAATATTTTGAGACAATAGGTTATTCTACATGGAATGCACATTACCAGAACACCAGATTCCTTTGCTGGATGCCACTGGGCACCGCTCTCAGCACATCCTACAGAGCCCCCACTTGTGTTATTGCTGTTAACAGAGAGCAGGAACAACTGATGCAAGTCCAGGATTGAGTTACTATATGACTCTGTCATTTATAGAATCTAAAATTTGGCCGTGTGTAAGTGAAATGCTTTTCAGACAGAATTCAGTAACTGGTGCTGGGAAACTTCATTGCTTCCAATGTTATCCCAACTATCAATGATTCCGGAGAAAACTCTTGAGCAGTCTAGAACTTGATAACAGGACAGGAACTTAGCTGGATTGCCAGTGACTTGTTCTTCCAACTTCTAGAGACACCCAGTTGAATTTCCACAAAGATCTATGAGCTCTGTTTATGGTGACATGGAGGGGATGGGACTGGTGGGATCTGGATAATTTTGCAGAGTTTGACAGAGCTCAGAATTAGCTAATGTGCTAAATATTGTGTGTAGATTGAGAGAAGGAGGCGGGAGGCCTTTCTCTGCTATGACTTTTAAACTGAATGTCCTGAATGATGATTCTTCTGAAGGATGTATTTAAGGAAATGTTAGGTATGAATAGAAAACTCAATTGATTTTGCAGGACTGACCCACAAACAGGAAGGAGAGTGCAGAGTCCTTCCTGAATGTCTTTCCTGAAAAACCTCTTATGGGCGGTGCTCACTCATTCTGATGCCGTTGTTTCTACAAAAGTTTGTCTTCGGGAGGAAGTTTGCTCTTCACTTTGCTCCATAAGGAAGTTGTTTAAGAAAAGACA